TGTTATGTTATGTTATGTTATAGAAGAGCCATGCTTCGGTACGAATGGACTGACCCAACCGGAGTGATATCGCGGATATATTTTTCCGGGTTCTCTAAAGCAAACTTGTTACGTCTGTCACTTTTATCAATTTATAGGCTGAAAATGACCTTTCAAAATTGACCTATGGCGTCGATGGCATAAAACAACGTAGCTACTGAAATAAGCACAGTTAATGAAAATGTAGGTTACCTAAATATGCATTTTTTTTTAATGAAGGGAAAGCATCGAATTATTGCTCCCGCCTGTGTGAGGCGGGAGGGAGTGTCAGACTCTGACTGACTAAAAACCACCCCGTTCCTTCTCCTGCACGTCGAGTCGGAGCCCCGGTTACCCGTTAGGTTCTCCGCGACACCTAAATATGCAATAATGTTATAAAAAGTATTAATTTTAAGTAAAAATTTAATTTAATTCGTTGAGTACCGTCATTATAGAGGTAGACACAATTAAAAAACAATAAGTTGCGGTCACCGGTGACCGCTTGGTGTTTGACAGTTTAATTAGTACCTATTATTAAATACATATACATAAATGTGTAACTGTATCAATATTTACAACTTAAAATTAACTGCAACTAAAGTATTGAATAAAACTAAATTAAAAAAAGAAAACAAAAGAAATTACACCCTTTATTTAGGCGTCAAAGTACTCGTCCGCATCACTATCACCGGGGAACGTCCGTTAGATATAAAAATAGAAAATGATTATTTTTTATTTATTACATGCGTATTGCATAGATACAAATCCATATAATCCGATGTCTACTGATGACTATTGGGGAAGCAAAAGAGGAATAATTTTTATAATTCCATAGTCTCTGCCTACCTCCATAGGAGACGTAAAACTATTAATATGAGGCAAAAGTACCAATAATGAGAGAAGAACCTTCGTTATAAAATCGGATAAACTTATCCCTTCACTATATTCATTGAAATTAAAACAATAACAAACATTCTAAATATTCAATTGCCGTACATAGATCGGTATAACACATATCACGCACCGGTCACAGACAACACTATTTATTTTCGGAACGTAAAAAAAATTAGCACTTACCTTATGACTTCCTTGTTAATAGATATCAACTGGAAGAGCGGTCTCAACTTCGTCGTCTGCATGTTTATGTTGTTGATCAGAGAATTAACACAATCACAGACTAGTATTATTATTTATTTAAAATTCGTTATCATGTCACTTGTACCTAAATAGGCACTTTGGTACACTCACAATTTTATTATCTATATCTCTGGCTAATAATAATAGGTACACGTGAATCTAAATATTTGTTTCGAATTTCGAACGCGTGAATATTTTTGTTTTTAAAATGGCGCGTATTTTTTTTGTTTTGTCATTCGATAAATACCCAATTCGAAATTGGAATGTTTATTTTTTATTTTTTAAAGCGACATAGACCAGCGGCTTCTAATATAGTTCTGTTATTGTAACGTTACCCATTCTGTTTTTCGGTAAACCATTTAATGATGTGTAGGTATTGTGCGTTCTAGCGAGACGTATATGACCTTGGATATTATTTAACCGGCTTTAAACTCGATCGTTTTATAATACGTCAGTGTTATTTTTTTAGATTAGAAACCTTGTGGATTTGGTATAAGGTTGGTTATTGGTTGTTAGATTGGGTGTTTTTGTGTTGTTGCGTTTAATGTAATAATGGAACCTCTTCGGGGAGAACTAGTCATTCGGTCATCATTCAATCAAGTAGTGATGCGGAGATTAGTTTTTTGTGCTATACCCAGATTAACGTACGAAGTGTATTTTTGAATTAGGTCTTGATAGGAATCAATTTAATGTTGATAAATAAGTACATAAATGGATTTTTAAATAAATTATTTATTAGAAAAATAAATATTAGGTACAAATATCACAACATTTTATTAACTAGTTATTTTCCTTATGGTTATTTTAAAATATCTTTATACATGGGTACGTTTATTTACAATAGGATAGTTTCCTAAATTTTATTTTAATGTCCGTCTGGTAGATTAATTTAAAACATTAGACACGTATTTTTTCTTTTTAACAAAATTAAATACTTTCGACGATATATTAATTTGAAATATCGTGTGACGTCACAGCGTGTCACATTTTGTAGCACGTTTTGACGTAACGACCTCCGACTCCTAAATTTAGCGCCATTTTATTTAAGTATTGTAACTTAATACGAGAAAATAAAAAATACGTGTCTAATATTTTTTCATTATGTAACTGACGGACTAATTAAATTTTTAATTTTGATACCCTGGAAACTACCTAATTTACATCGTCAATAGTTAGGTACCTATCTATGCTAGTTGCGTAGGTCTCCTATATAAGCCTCCACCTATGAAATATTTAATAAAAATATTTAATTGTTTGTTCGTTATTTAAAAAGTAATGAATCGTTTTCAAAACTTCCTTTACCATTCGAAAGTAATTTTTTTAATGAGTAACACTAATTTTTATAGCAATATTGGGACCGTTATCGAAATGTACTAGAGAAAAAAAAAATTTGCAACTGGCGAAGTTGCAGTTGGTTAGCTAGATAATTAGGACAAACTAGTTTTGTGTGAAACAAGTGAAACAAGTGAATTTATTTCTGCAAATAGGCTACAAGGCAGCACTTTTACACGTCAATTTTATCAAGCGAACGATGAGGCCGATATTTCCTAACTGACTACTCTGAGAAGAAATGCCGAAACAAATTCAGAGGTCTGTCTCTTTTAAAGTCCAGACAATATGTATAACAGATTATGTGTGAGAACCGTGCCAGTTCTTTCTGTAGTGGGCTTTAGAGGAAAGAATCACAACAGTTTGAGCGGACCCGTTCTGAAGGCAGTACGCATGTGTCGGCTTATACAGTCAGCTCAATTAACAGGTGAGGCTGACTGATTCGTGTATTCAATGCTTAAAAGAAAACTAATTGCTATAACAAGTCTCCGTCATATATTTTAGTACACATAATATATAACACACGTAGTATTTACACAATAACAAAACATAACATCACGCCTTTTATCCCTGAAGGGGTAGGCAGAGGTGCACATTACGGCACTTAATGCCACTGGACGATGTAACACCCACTTTTCACCATTTATGTTATGAATCCCATGTAATAGGAGGTGAGCCTATTGCCATATACCGGGCACAATTTTAGACTTCCGTGCTATCACTGAGAATTTTTTTAAAACCCAGTAGTATTTTGCCCGACCCGGGAATCGAACCCGAGACCCCTTGCCCGAGTCGCACTTGCGACCATTTGGCCAACGAGGCAGTCACACAATAACTATATATAAATGTAAATTACATATTGAGAACGCCACAACATATTCATTACTTATCTATAATTTCATACATTATTATAACAGTAGGTATATACATTTCATTAACATTAAAATTATAATTATTTTATTTCTTAACATCGTTAAATATGAAGTTGAAAGGTCCCTTGATGTAATTGAGAGATTCTTGTTGTATCTTCGGTGGTGGACCGAACCATTCTACTTGGAAGTTTTCGATCAAGCGAGCTACGAAGATGTCCATCTCCAATTCCGCTATGCGACGACCTGAGGAGACATAAAAAACATTAGTATGCTGTTGAAGAGTAAATGATGAAGGGCTGAGTCGATATGTGTTCAACCATCAGACTCAATTTATTGGTTGAGTCTACAAGATCAACTCCTGAGGTAGTTAGCCTAGCTTATTAGAGAGCATTTTTATCATGTCTCTGATAATTGTTAATTCTTTTAACATATCATAACATTATGCCGTTTTATCCTCGAAGGGGTAGGCAGAGGTGCACATTATTAATATAACACTCGCTTTTCACTATTTATGATATGAGTCCCATGTAATAGGGGGTGAGTTTATTGCCATATACCGGACACAATTTCAGACTCCGTGCTATTAAAGATTTTTTTTAATAACCAGTAATTTCCGACTCGGGAATCGAACCCGAGACCTCTTGCTCAGCAGTGGCATTTGCGACCACTCGCCCAACAAGGCAGTATATTAATTATTTTAGTTAATTGGATTACTAATAACGTATCCCTCCAAAAGCTTGTCACAAGGTCTCATTTTTTATATTAGATGGGGATTGACGTTTGACCACTATCTCGCCTGGTGGTAAGCGATTATGTGGCCTACGGAGCACGTCGAGCCATAAGAAATAATATTTAATATAGAAATGATTTGTCCATTACCTATACAGCTTCGGGCGCCGAATCCAAACGGTTGATGCGTGAATGGATGTGTGTTTCCATAGTGAAGGGGATCATCTTTACTGGTTATCCATCTCTCTGGAATGTACTCTTTGGCCCTTGGGAAGTATTCCTCTAACAGCGACATGTCTCGGTGAGCGAACACCACCTCCATCTATGGGGAGAAATATGAACTATACCTCTATTGATAACGCTATACGCTAATAGGCAATTCAATTGATGACAATACTTTTCTCTTCCATTTTTTTCTTTTATATTATTGTGCAGCGATTACCCATTCCCAGATTCTTTTCAGAAATTCTATCCAAAGGTGGTCTAGAAGAAATCGCCGCGTGTGATTGTATTCAAATTACTATTACAGTTTCTACATTTGTTTCTGTGTGTGCAATTAAGTATAAAATAAATAAATCAATAAATAAATCTAGAAGACAGCAAGTGGGTTTTAGTTTTGTACCTAATCATATCTTGATATTGATGAATTCAAAATCGATTTGGTATAGGTTCTACCTAGGAGATGAAAAATATCAATAGGATGGAAATTTAAACTCAAGAGACAAAGGACACTCACATCTTTAGGTATCTTGTAACCCATCAAACTGTATTCCTTGGTGGTTCTTCGTATATTGCCTGATACTACAGGCATCACTCGTAATGATTCTTTGACGCATGCCCTCAGGTATCTACGATCAGAGCCCGACCGTAATTCTTCTCTTAACTTATCTTGCTTTTCTGGATTTGTTGCCAGAAGATAAAGTGTTGCGGTTACTGTATTTGCAGCCTGTAACATAAAATATTTAAAATTAATTTTCGGTGACTAATTTATAACATGGAATTTTTAAACAGGCACGATCACCTCGGCTCGATAGAAAATCTTCCTTTTAGAGGAATTAGAATATATCACACTGTTCTTTAATAGAAAACACAACAACCTTTGTCGTCTAAAAGTTTAGGTACACTTTAAGCTAAATACACGTAGACATAAAATGATATAACTCAAACAGATAACGACTGTGGGTCTAAGTACATTGCTGATAAAGGATGATGAATAATCAATATTTTATCATCACCATATTAGATAACAGTTTACACCAAAACAATAATATTTGTTATTGTAAGTACCGTGTCTACACCAGCAAATAACATGTCACTGGCCATTATGTAAGCTACTTCTTCATTGATCGCCAATAATTTTGCCAGTACACCATTCTCTCCACCAGAATTGTTCTTTAGTTGCTCCTTTCCTTTCTTCAAGAAGTGTTTTGTTAGGCTGAAACCAAAAAATGAAGATGTTAAAGAGTAATCTACATATGCCATGGTCCTTCAAGGACTTCACCACCACAGCTCTTTAAGAGAACTTTCTGAACCCTAAGGTTATGACAGGACCTTCTTAATTTAAAGAAAATGTACAGAATATGCTTACTTTTCATGATGCTCATACAATTTCATGGCATTTTTGTATGTCGGTGTAGCAAAATATCTCCATAAACTTGGTTTGAAGTCCAGTTTATTGGCAGTAACAAACAGATCGTGGACGCATTGGATCAGTTGCCACTCCGGAGAGTCTGCAGGAAGGTTCGGATCGAAGCAGTTCAGTCGGGAGCCAAGAGCCACCGTACCAATAGATTCTAAGGCCCATAAGTTCATTTCTTTATCAAAATCATTTTTAATCATATTCTTTTCATTGCGATTGGCTTTCATCCTGTGAACATAATTGAATAAATTTAATATTATTTTTTGAATGGAGAAATTAAAAATATTCTTTGTATGTTTGGTTTCATACCTTGCGACCATATCTTGCGCCACCTCATCAAGTACTGTGGTATATTGTTTGATTGTTTTCGGTTGCAACATCACTGGATTGACAGTGGACCTAAACTCTTTCCATACTTCACCGTGACTATAAAAGATATATATACGTGAAAAATTATTTCTTTTTTTGACTCGTTTTTGTAATAACTTTCGTGAGACATACTAATTAACTAAATAATTACGAGTTACTGACGTAAATATGCTGAGAAAAGCACTGAGATACTAGATTCGAGTCACAGAGGGACTTTTCCTTTTCTCAGCTGCTAATGAAGAAATAAAAATAAGCAAGGGCTGCTGAATTAATCCGATTGAGTAAAGGATGTGTTTTTTTTTAAATAAAACGTTGCCCCATATTACGATTTTCTTCTGTGTCGTGGGTGCGTTTACAAACATATAAGTTCACATACACATGACACTCAGACCCGAAACAACAATTTGCGGATCACACAAAGCGCTGTTTCGTGCAGGAATCGAGCCCGCTACACATTGCGCGGAAGCCGGTTACCCAGCCATCGCGCCAACCGCGCAGTCATGTAACCCAAGAGTAATATTTGCTACATTAGTGTTAACTTACTCAGTGATAAGACCAGTAGTCTGAACATTGTGATCCTTATTAAACTTCTTCTTGAATACTTTTCTATAATATTCAAGTGATACGAATCCAGGTCGAATCGGCAGCCAGTTTTCACTTCGTAATACCTGTGAAAGTAGAGGTGCACTCATAATTCATGACAAAACATGTTTTCTTTTATTAATCTAGTTAATACTAGTTTCGATTGGATATTCCATTGTCGAAGGCCTGTCAACCTGTTTTCTGTTTAGTCACTGAATATTGTTATTATGAAACCGATGTCTAATGATTAAATTTATCGCACATGAATCTATTTATGTATTTTTAGATGCTTACAAAGCATAAAATTATCAGTTTTATCACGAGTCTGGTCGATGTTGTTATGGTCCAAATTATTTTTGTAACTTTTAGTCATTGGTGATAAAGAGTTCCCTAGATTACACAAAAAAGTAAATACGCAATATTGTTGGTCATTACCCACCTGTTTCAGTGTATATCGCATGTAATATATTGATATTGGAATGAATTAAAATATTGATTTCAGAATATTATTTTAGTGATTTTATTAATGCGTACGATTTTAAGTGTATCTTATTGAGCGCCATTTGTTTTTCTAAAATTTTCACTAATAATACGGAGTTTGGACATTATTATTTTTTTATGGCATAGGTAAGCCTGTAAAAGAGCAGACGGCTCACCTGATGGTAAGCTATCGGCGTCGCCCATTGACACCCGGAACACCAGAGGCGTTACAAGTGCGTTACCGGCTTTTTGGGGATTAGGAGTTTTAGGATCCTTGGGGATTCAGGGATTGGGGAGGTTGGGGAAGGGGAGGGTAATTGGGCCTGTGGATATATGTTATTTATCTTTGATGCTAATCGACTACAAAATAAAGAAAAGAGAATCTCAGCTTGACCTTGTACAAGGTGTTGGATTTGACCTGTATGTATGTATGTTTGTGTGCGATTATCTCGTGATTGGCTGAACCGATTTTAATGCGGTTTTCAGAAAAGTGTTACACTTAGGAGGTTTAACTGATCAATCCCTAAGCGATTACCGGTGACTGCTCTCCACTAACTCCACTATAGACCTTATTTCCGATGTTTAGAGACTACATTTGTATGAACAAATTTTGGGGATTCATATCAGGTTATTGTGTACGAGTAAGTATATTATGTACAGTATAATAATAACCGACACTAAAAAAGAGGGCGTTGAATTCGGCTTATTTAAACGGAATTACTAACAGAATTATTACTTTTTCAAAAGACAGTAAACGTGACCTTAAGGCTTAGCGCTCACTATCGGCATCAGTACGTCTGAGGATTTTAGGTGGCATATAGCAATATACATTAATATAATAGCAATAAAGTAGAAATTGCCGTGCAAATAACAAAAATATCGCTTCGATATGCTTGAGGCTGTTGTGTCGGCAGCGTTGAAAATCCTTCGGGATGCTTCGGCATTCTCCGGCCGCAAGCCGCCGTCGGCTTGATTGATTAGATTTCTCTTCTTCTTCAGCAAGAGCAGCTATGAGCACTAGATTCCAGTTCACAATATTAAATACAACTCAGATAACTGGCTTGTAACAACTTTGAGACTGTTATGACGAGAAATACGATATTGAGACGCTTTGACATGCTTCAGGACGGTGCGTCATGCTTAACCGCTTGAATGCCTGTGTATAAGGCACAATAGAAAATACTTTGTGTCTCGTGTGGATCTTCGTTTAGACACACGACGGGTTAAGGACGCCTCGTTATTCCTAAGACCGTTCCAGTGCGCTTGGTAAATAAGATGCCGAAGGATCCTTTTTCTTGCCAATGCCGATAGTGGGCACCGGGCCTTAGTAGTATTTAAAGCTAGAATGTTCTACTTACATGGGCAGAAGCTTCTGGGTCAAACAGTACTATCATGGGTGCCTTTCCTAATAGTCCATCAAGTCTTACAATTGGACCATACAACTGGAATAATTTCAAAGTAGTGTCCACTATTTCGATGTTATGTAGTTGACCTGTAACAAAAGTTACAAAATATTGCATTTAATTTAATGGCTAAGAATATGTGGATTAATTACGGTCAAACACCTAGGGAATGATGAGTCTGCCATGGCCTTTGTACGACTGAAAAAAATTAAAAAAGAAAAAAAAATTGTCGAACATATAAAAAGGATTTTTTTAAATTAGGTACTTTGAGAAAACAGCTATCTTATTATAAAAAGATAAACATTGGGTTTTCCATATACATAGGTGCTATGTGAAAATTTTATTGCAAACAAATAACTCGATGTTTATGTAAGCAGTTAGCAGTAATTATCACCGTCTGAATAAATATAACAGGCGTAGGTACAAATCAAAATCCTAAGATTGTGCTGTGTGAATCCTAAGAAGTGCTGGAATTTAAATTCCAGCTTAACTCGTCGAGTACCGGTTTTGTAGACACATTATACAGTGTGTTAGGTTAAACGAGGGACATATTCAAACCCATAATAGTGTATACTCACATGAACCTAACAAACATATAAACGAAACGAAAACACTAATAAATAACAGACAGCACCATAAAAACGCTTCCACTTACGCTTACGGGTTTCGGCTTAGCGGGCTTAAGCGCGCTCTATTCTTTTTGGCAAGATAGGCGCATGATTTGCAACGCGAGTTACTTTATGTAAGTACTGTTTCTGTTTACAAGTTCACTTGTTGCGCGCTCAGTGTTCATGATGATGTATTTTATTAGACAATTACCTCAAAAATTTTGGTTATAGGTTTTTTACATATTCGGGACGAGAATCGAATACTGAATACCCTCCCTCAATAAGTCCCTCGTTTAACCTAACACACTGTAGAACAATAGGTTGCGGTCACCGGTGACCGCTTGGTGTTTGACAGTTTAAAATCACGTGACGTATTTGTTAATAAATATAGTAGGCATATTGTAAGTTACACTGAAACTCACCTCCAGGAAAGAAATTGTGTAATTGGCCAATAATTGGCAAGGATGGAGGTCCAGGAATTTCCTTCCATGATTTCAAATTTGTGTCCGAATTGACTGTAGTACTTGCTACAGCTACTCTCCTGAAATACATGAAAGATAAGTATTATCATAATCATACAAAATGCACGTTTAAGTGCACGAGTATCCGCATGCGATTGCATTATTGGCGAGTGGTTGGGCAATCGAGGACTTGATTCCTACATAAAAGAAACATTTGTCTAAATCACAAATTGTTATTTTGTAACGCAATCACGACACAGAAGAAAATCCTAATGTGTGGCCACGTGGTTTGTGTAAAAAGAAAAAAGTAAGAAAAGATCTCTTGATGAATCGAATTCCGAAAACCCCAAACCAGCCACAGGATGATGGTGATTTTACAAACATGTGTTATCCTGATAAGGTCCAAAGACTAGAATGGGTGTCAACATGATATTTCCAGACAGGCGATTTTGCATTTTAAGTATTGCTATGAAATTACATTCATACGAGATGGGTAATGCCTTGGAAAACCAGAGGAAAATAGACAACAATTCGTTCCTAAATGAATGGACCTCCATATTCTCCACACAAGGTACACACCAACATTCGATGCGTTCAGAAGTGATCGATTTTTTTAAAGTATAGTGGGCGTTACAGCCTGCTTTACACCCTTACTAGCTAAAGTCCAGAACTGGATGGTGAGTATAGACCTTACAACCTCTGACCATAAAGCCATTACGTTTGACTTGCAGCTAGAAAAGGCAGTAGAACCCGCAAAGCCCACAACAACGCGAGACTACAACACTGAAAATGCAAACTGGACCAAATGTAGATCACACCTTCGAGCTTCTCTAGCAAAGAAGCAAAAACCACATACACAGGTAATTTGTAAAACAAACAATCAAACTGATTCTTAGAGAAGAGAGAGAGCGATAATCTGTATAGTTCCTCTCTCTTTATCGTTTATACAATATAAACGTATATCTAACATGTTCAGTGATATGCTTATCTAAATTAATAGCACAATAAATAATATACCTAATTAAACAATCAACTGTTTGTTTATAAAGTTATCGTAGCATCGTTTGTGTGAGATATCCTAACGTTCCCATTGAATTAATACTTATATTGTGTCACGCAAAAAAATAACAACAACAAACTAAAAAACATTATCAAATTTGATGCAATATTTCCTGAGTTACGAGCGTGAAAATAAATTCGATTGTTGACACAATTGAACATGATATATTCGGTTGCCACACAGCTGATTATTACGTACTTTGTTATTGACATTGAATTTAAATGAACGATTGAACTGAATGAATTGGGCTTAAAGATAATCGTACATAGCACCATATAGTTCTCAATTAAAAACCGGTTTAATAATCAATAGACAAATAAAAAAATGAACGTCAGTTTAATTGTAATATCTGCCAGTAACAGGAGAGATTCAATTAAGTATTGAAATGGCAACTAACCTCGTAATTTTCTTGTTGATAGATACTAGTTTGAGCAACGCGAACGGCTTCACTTTAGTCGTCTGCATGTTTGTATAGTTAGTCACTGAGTGGTGTTCACAGTATACCTCAGCGATGTTATCGTCCAATGAATATATCTACTTTTAAAGGCGAAGATATCACATGGCACCCACAACAGTGATTACACTCTGATAAACGTATTACGTACGTGTTGAACAACGAAAATATTAATTGCATCAATTTCTATAATACGTAATCGAAGATTTTTGATCGAAATATTTCGAATATGCGCAATTTGTTTTAGTTTGTAATGTAATTGAATGATAAATTAGTTCTTCATTCACTAGAGCGACTACACGAATGAATAATACTGATGGACTAAACTACTATACTGCTAGTCGGCTGTCAGTGTGTTTATAAACGCATTTGACCTTCCCGTTAAAATTAAACTAACAATCGACCACACATCCGTCTGTTAATTCAATTTAAGTCTTATTCTACTAGTGATAGAGTTTAGGTTTTAGTGTGGGGGATTTGGTTTCCATGTTTTGTATATTTGTGATAGTTCGTGAATCTATTCGTTGTTAGTGTGATGTTTATCAATGTGAAGATAATATGCTCATGCACTTTTGCGTATTATAATATTGAATATAATGTTTACTACTGTGTGAATGTTGGTACCATGGTGAATGGTCGATATGAAGTTATTAATATTAAATTTTATTCATATTTTTATGCAATTCGTTATTTTACTAGATGTTTTAACAGACAGTGTGCGTATACCAAAAAAGTGAGGTTGAACCTGTACCTATGTATATATGTGTATATGTATGTATGTATATTATTTACTATACGTACGTATAGTACATACGTACGTATTTACTGTATGTATATATTACTTATATACTAT